CCCCATGCAGGAGTCAGCACTTCTCCAGAACAGGATGAGAACAGACACCCAAGTTCTCTAGAAAGAGATGTGTGTTTGAGGCAGAGGGGATTCGTTAGGGTGCTCAGGGACCTAGGCTGTCTACTAGAGGATCCCTCAGCCCAGACTGACTTGGAAATAGGGGCCCCCTCCTGCTGGCCATTGTGTCCTCAGCAGAAAGCTGTATTATTTCTCCTAAACTACAAACTATCCCAGACTTAGGGGTGGAGCTGAGGTGTCAGAGGCCGAATTTATTCCATACTTGGGCAAATGATAGCTGCTTACAGACGGTACAGAGACCAGAACCCAAGGTCCCCAAAGTGCCGCAACTGGGAGTAAGGAGCTGGGGTCCTGCCCAGGCTCTAACTTGCATCCCAACTTCCACAATGCTTTCATATGCATTCTCTTTGAATGTCATTGTCACAATCACCCACAATGGCTGGAAGTATAAGGTGAGATGCATTCTAAGGGTTAGGATTCCAAGACTCAAAAAAAGTACACCTAAAGGAAGAGGTGAAGCACTCCACCCAAGCCCTGTCCCCTGCTGCCCAGGCCTCTCTCTTCTCTGCAGCCAGAGTCACAAGGTAGTGCTATAGCTCTGGTTGGGGCTTTTGACTAGAAACAGGAGGCTCCCAGGGGTTATTCTGGAGTCTCTGATCTCAATAACATAAAACATTTTTTTTCATTTCTCTGAAGTTCAGCCTCATTTCCCAGGGCATATGAATCACCTGAAGGTCTTATTGAAAGGCAGGTTTTGGTCTGGTAGGTCTGGAGTGGGGCCTGAGACTCTGCATTTCTAGCAAGATCCCAGGGTGGCCCGTGGAGCCTCATTCTCATGTATAAAACATCAGGGAGGGCTCGCTTCCCACTTTAAGCCTCTCTTTTGGCCCTTGCAGAATTGCATCCTGGATTCAAATGACCAAAGTAAGAGGAGTTGGAGAATGTGAGGATGAAAGGGCACCGTGGTTCCTAGTGTTACAGAGAGTGACACTGAGGCCTACCTAGTGCCGGTAGGAGCTTGTTCAAAATCTCACAGCAATTCACCGACAAAGTCAAGACTCAGGCCTCCTGTATAGGGGAAAAAACAAAAAAACAAAATCCAGAAAAGATACTCATTGAAGAGTTAACTGTGCTTTCTCTGGGCAAACTATGGGTTCCTTCCCCCCCCCCTTTTCTCTCTCTTTCTTTTGCTTTTCCTTCCTACCTCCCTCTCTTTCTTTCTCTTACTTGTATGTTTTTAAACAATGAGCAGTATTGATTTTGTAATAAGAAAAAATAATTTTAATAAAAGAAAATTCTCACAAAGTTCTCAGTAAAAGAGATTGTTTATGAATGTGCTGGGTAAGCTGTAACTACATACAGCAGCTCCCTGTCATCGGTGTGCAGTTCGGCTCCAATCATCCAGAAGTCATTCCAAGCGAGGTTATCCCAACTCTTCTGGGACCACGAATCACCGAGATGAGGAGGTCCCCGCGCTGCCAACCGCTGCGACAGCTTCCCTCCGCCTCTGCCGTCGGGACACGTCCCCAGGAAGCGCTGGCCGCCGGAATCTCTCCCCGTAAATCAGGGAAGAGGGTTCCCTAATCCGTTTTCGTAGCAAACGACCTCGGGCCAAGTCTGCTTTTGTTGCTGATTTCCTAAGCTTAATTGCAAGCAAAGTTAATTTGAAAGAAAATAAATGTTACTGCTGTGGGGCGAATTCTAACGAGCCTTGGGCAATTAGGGAAGAACGCACCTAATTACCCGCAGCCCGGGGCGCCTGCACACGACGCTGGGGGTGCGGGGCCCGGAGGGGGGCAAACGACTTTTCTGTGTTTGTGCATCACAGGAAGAGAAAGAAAATAAAAAGAAGCTCACCTCCAGTCTCTGAGCCCCCCGAGTCGGGGGACTGGGAGGTCCCGTTCCGGGGCTTGGAGATTTCTAGAGTCGGAACGGTCCAAGACGCGACGGTGGAATGTTCTCGATGTCCCGGAGTCGCGCGGGCTGGAGGGTCCCCCCGCGACCCCGCCGTGGCCGACGCGCACCGTCCCCGAGGCGGCTCTCGCCTGCGCGGCGCCGGTTCCGGCCGGTGGCTCAAGAGCTCTGGGTGTCGCCAGCCAGAGGAAGGGCGAGAAGGGCTGTCGCTCTGTCTTCAGCGCCTTGGTCCCAACCCTCGCGGACCTCCCTGTCCCTTGGGACTCCCGTTGTACACAGCCTGTTCCGTCCCCGCAGCGTCCTCTCACTCCAGGCACCGGCCCTCGCTTTGGCATAATCTCACCTGTCGCGTAAACTGGCAAGGAGGGTGGGGGCGAAGACGCCAGCCTTTTCCCACCCGTCTTTCTCGGTCCCGGAGGCTTTATCGCGACGTTCCAGGTGGCTTCGCGAGCAGGTGGCGTTTATCCGCCCTCCTATCCCCAGCGCTTTACAAGGCGTTGTTCACCTCGTCTAGTTTGACTTCGGGAGGACCCTCTGAGGTAGTAATCACAAATTTCCATTTCACAAATGAGGACAATAGACGAGAAGGGACTGGCTGATTAATGGCTCTGTCAAAGCATTCGACTTGGTAATTTGGAAAGAGAGAGAGGCTCCCGCCTCCCCCTTAAGTAGGTACAAAAGCCGCCGGTCTCCAGCCCCAACCCGGCGGCTCCCCGCAGCTGAGGACAAAACTCTCCAGCGGAAGACAATCAATTTCCGGCTCCTGCCAACTAGGCAAGGCATCCTGACCTCCGCGCCTGGGAGGGCCAGCTTGTCTGGCTGCATATAGAGAACTCTTGAATTCCATACCTGCAAGGGTCCACAGGGAGAGGAGGGAGGCCCAACACCTCAACTTGTCCAAGGTCACAGGGCTGGGTCTGGAATCCGGACCCTCCGGGGTGGCAGGGCCAGTTCTCCAGTTGCTTCCAGCCTCTGAGAGGTCATTACCACCACCAAAGCCAGGAAGGACCAGCATCAAGACCTGCACTGTCCCGTACAGTAGCCATTAGCTACACATCGCTACTGAGCACTTGGCATATGGTTAGCCCAAATTTAGATGAGCTGTAAAATGCACTCCAAATTTTGAAGACAGTATGAAAAAAAATAAAACATTTCAACAATTTTTATGTTGATAATATGTTGAAATGATAATATTTTGGACATACTGGGTTAAATACAATATATTAAAATTAATCTCACCTGTTTCATTTTATTTTATTAATGTGGCTACTAGAATTTAAAACTTAAAATTACACACATGGCTTGCATTATATTTCTATTGGATAGAACTGAGACAAACACCCATCTGGACTGAGCGAAGTTCACGTCTTTGTGAACAGGATTGTGCAGTTCCCCAAATAAAAATAAAAATTACCAATGGTTTTCAAACAATCTTTTTTATGCCCCCCACCCCTTTCTACCAAGTTAGCTATGCAGAAAGAGGCTGAGTTCTCTTGCCAGAACTCACTTGCTCAAAGATTTTTATTGAAACCATTTGAACACTCAGGTTTATCTGAAAGCTTCGCATGGGGCCTCTGAAATATTTAAGGCTGGAAATTTTTGCTCCAGAACAGAAACTTACAAGATTTCTCAAAAGAAAGTGGGAGAGTTAGATTTTCTGATTTTAGCAAGTCTGTTGCTTAAAACAAATAAGCAAACAAACAAATAAGATACAAAATTAAAAATTCAGTTTCTTTCTAAAGCTTACTTCTATAGCTTATTGATGGCTTCAATTTAATTTTTCTCTTCCCTTTTTGCATGAGAAGGCTGCTGGGCATAGCAGAGGGTGAGCCAGGGATGGAACAGCCAACCCCAACTACTGAAAGCTGTCACCAATGGGCTTCTGTCCCCTGAGTCTTCTCTTCTCTTTGCACTTCAGTTCTCCCATTGGGTCCAGGGCTGCTTGATGAGGAGAAACAGCAGACAATGAAGGAATGTACCTTTATCTGCCTCACTGGAAAACCAGATTTATGATTAGGCAGTAATAACTGTGGAATGACCAGCACATCCTGCTTAAAAGATTCAATAAAATATGATATAATCGCTACCTGGAGCTAATCCTGAAACTTCAGGTCAGAGGCTTGCCATGAGCTGTTCTGAGTCCCTAGAACAGCAGTTAGGCTCTGGGTGGCTACTCAGAAGTCCTGGGTGGCCCACCAATGCTGCCAAATATGCAAGGCAGCATCCAAGATGACGGGGCCCTTAAAGATAATATGGGGGATAATATCCTGCAGCCCTCTTCTGTAACAGACAGGGAGATTCGGGTGATGGGACTGGGTCACACTGGGGAGCTGAGGCACAGTTCAGACTCATAGCTAGGTCTGTGGGTTCTCAGAGGCAAGGAAAACCAGCCCAGGTCAACCGGAGAATTTCCCCCGTTAAAAAAAAAAAAAAAAGGGGGGGGGGGGGGGGGTTTTTTTATTTAAAAATTTCTTTTATTTTAAAAAAAAAGGGGGGGGGGGGGGGGGTTTTTTTATTTAAAAATTTCTTTTATTTTAAAAAAAAAGGGGGGGGGGGGGGGGGGGGAGCTACTTCTTATGCAAACCTGTTCTCAATTTAAGAAGAAAGGCGCTGTCAGAGCCTTTTATTGTAGTAACACACAGTCAAAGGCACAAGAGGCCGAAACGTGTAAAAAGGCCCAAGTTTTACGCAGCTCAGGGAAGGGTGAAGTTATGTGATTCCCCACAATTCGGATCCTGGATTCTGGCGTAGACACTACGCTGTCCCCCCACCCCCTTATCGCCAAGGGCCCTCCCTGGTAGAATGTCATAAAAGCACGTCCTTTGGAGCTTTGCGTCATCGAGGTCCCTCGTGCCAGTCTTAGGGTTGCGGCTGCCTCTCTCCATCTCTTCCCATTTACAAAGAAAGCTGGGTATTACCGCGGTGCGCCAGGAAACTCTCTGGCCCACTCGGTCCCTTCCACTTGGGTCCCAATTCTGTTCTCTCTCCAGTCCTGTCCTCAGGTCTCGGGGAAACTTAGTTCGTGCAGACAGTCGAGGTATCTATAAGTTCTCGTCCCTACGCTTGGCTCATATGGCGGACACGAACCTATCCACCCCGCCGGTATAGGCAGCGGCATGGCGAGCATGGTAGGCGCCTCCACTGCCCCCTCCAAGCTGTCCCCCAGGATTGTAGCAGGGCCCCAGCGCTGCGAACTGGCCAGGTGATGTGCGCCCGTAGAAGTCCACTGCGGTCTCGACGCCGCCACTGTTGCCACTCACAGGGGACGAAGCTGGTCCCGCCAGGCGGCCAGCCGCGGCAAAGAGCGCGCTGCCGGCCCCCTGCGGGTACGCACCGTCGGGGCTCGCGTAGGCGGCCGCGTAGGCCGGGGGGTTGGCGGGCCGGGCTCCTGCGCAGCCGGCGGGCTGGTAGCTGGTGGTAGTGGCAGGGGCGCCGGCCGAGGCAAAGGCACAGGAGCCCCCGGGCCCCGATGGCGCGGGACCCAACTCTGGGCTGAGCGGCCGCTCAGGAACCAGGCTGAAGACTCGGCAAGGGCCTGGCGACGCGGCGGGGTAGTACACCGGTGGGGGCGCGGCGAGCGGCGGCGGCGGGTAGCCCGCATAGACGGCGCCCGGG